AAAGTAGTCTGAAGCATCGATGGAATATGTTATAACTTCGTGGTGCTGATCTCCTACTCTTTCATCCTCCAAAGTGCCCCCCTGGCCTGAGTTGTCTTTTATAATCCTGGAGAAGCAGCTGATGTGCTTCTTTTGCATTTTCAACACTGCAGTTGTTTTCTGACAATGAAGCTAAGGCTCCAAAAAATCCTATGGTCCTTTAGATGCTCTGGGAGCTGCAGAGTCACTCTGTGAGTTTCTTTGCACAGAAATTTATGGATTCAGTTTTAAAAGATAATTGCCTGTATCCAAACTTGCTCTTGTCTGAGTGGAAAGGCACTTAAATAGTTCAGTGAGTTCCCTCCAAATTTTTGCCGATTGTCTCCAGAGGGTGCTGAAGCTCTCAAACGTTGCCTTTCAGGAAACAAGTTACTTTATCAGGGAGACAGGAATCATGAATAGAACTCCGAGAACATAGGGTCAAAGACTATGCATGTAGACCTTAGCATGTTTATATTACATTCTGATTCTATTTTAAAGTAAGTAATAATATTTAGGAATCTGAACTAAACATAATTCATTTACATCAAAATTACTTTTTAAATGTTATCAGTTAGAAAAATGGGCATCCTTGGTTATCTGTGTCTTTAACTTTGACTGTGTCATCTTCCATTCAGACTTTGATATGCCATGGATATGACTCCTGCTGACAATGTGAAATGGCCATGAGTTGAAAGCTGTAAGTTTTTAAAAGGCTCCAAATGCCCCTTCTAAGTTCGGGGGGAATCTTGGACAAGGTCCCTGAATAGGCCTACCTCTTCTTTGCTATTGTCTATTTGCTTGCCCTCTTCCTTTGCCCAGTCTATGTAGAACAGCGCTAGGTGAACAGGGGCAGCTGCTCCATCTTGCCCCTCTTCTCACTGCCTGAATGCTTGAGTGGGTCTAGAAAAGAATAAATCTATACCTATAATCATTTTACAGGAAAGGATCTCTTCTATTCTCACCCATTAATTCACTTCACAGGAAAGTCAGCATTTTATAGGCAATGGGTGCTATTTCAACTTTTACAAAAACTGCATCTGTTTTAGTACCTTCTTAACCCCTTTTAGAGTACAGGCAGTCCCCAAGGTATGAACATCCGAGTTGCAAGCAAACTGTACTTATGAAAAACTGCCATAAAGCCTTTCAAAAATTACTGCAGTAATCAGACTCAGTGTCCAGGAGTGCCTTTTTCCAGCTATGGTGGTTTTTCCAGCTCTACCCCTACCTAGACAGGAGGAACCTACAGATAGTTATCCTTGCTCTGATAACTTTCAAAGTAGATTATTGTAATGTACTCTACGTGGGGCTGCCGTTGAGGATGGTCCGGCAATTGCAAGTGATACAAAACTGGTATTGGGCTGCTCTGTTGGTGACTGGCACTCCTAAAATGGCCCATATAACACAGATTCTGAAAGAATTACATTGGTTACCAGTTGTGACCTGGGCCCATTTCAAGGTGCTTGTTTTGATGTATAAAGCCCTAAACAGCTTGGGGCCCGGCTTCTAGATTGAGAGGTATTACTGTCACTCTATACTACTCTGGTGCCCACAGCTGGAGTATTGTGTTCAGTTCTGAGCTCCTCATTACAGGAAGGATATAGTTGGAATTGGTGCAGTGTACGGCCACAGGGATGGTGGCCGGATTGCAGGGGAAGCCATATGAGGTGAGACTGAGGGAACTGAGTCTTTTCAGCCTGGAGAAGAGGAGACTCCGAGGGGATCTGTTGGCGACATACAGGTACATGAGGGGATATCACACAGAGGTGGATAGAGATATGTTTTCTCCTGTGGAGGAGGGTAGGGCGCATTCCAATGGAGCAAAGCGCAGTGAACCAAGGTTCAATTTGGATGCCAGGGAGTGCTTCCTAACAGTTAGGACACCTAGGGTATGAGATGGGATTCCACAGGAGGTGGTTGGAGCCCATCAGTGAGGGTGTTCAAGGACAGGTTGGACATGCACATGGTAGCCATGTCATGAGCAGAGTCAGCTGGAGCTGGGGTCAGACTAGATGGCCAAGGAGGTCCATTCTGACTTTCTCTGTTTCTATGTTTCTGTCTGAAGGACTATCTACACCCATACATGCCTATCCACCCCCTAAGATCAGCACAGGAGGCCCTTCTGCAAGAGCCACCCCTCAGGGAGGTGAGAGGGGTGGCAAATACTGCTGCTGCTCATCGCTGGAACTCCCTCCCTAGGGAAATTAGCCTGGCACCATCGTTATTTTCTTTCCAGCACCAGAGAAGATACATCTTATAATAATAACAATAACAATAATAATACTTAGCCCTGTGCTACCAATTTTTAAATTATTATGTGGTAGGCCTGGTTACATGTTAGCTATATGGTCTATTCACTAACATTTGATGGAATTAATGAATTCAAAACTCATTTCAGTGCTCTAAAGGAGTACAGGAGTCTTAGGTCAATAAAGAAGCCAAATCTATCATCAGAAAACCCCAACAACAACTACATTTTCTGATATTTTATTCTTTGCAGGCACTTCTTCTCTGTATCAATAATATGTATGAGAACATACTATTTTCACCCCAAAGTTATAGCGTGACATTGTCATAGTTTTGAGCAGGGAAAAAATCTATAGCATTCAGATACACATATGTTCTGTTTACCAATTTAATGTTCCAGTATTAGATTGAAAAGAGCCTACTTTGATTGTTTCTCCAGGGAAACACTCTACTTTAATGAATCAAGGAAGGTTTCTTGCCACCATTATAGCCTAACATTAAATATTTATAGAATGTATGTATATAATCTATTATCATACATTTATATGAGAGCTGTTGCATGAAGGGGGCCAGAATTAAATCCAGGAAAACCAATTAATCCATTTGTATGATATGCAGCAGAATGAACATAACAAATAACTTTTTCTGGGTATCAGTTTAATCCTTCATTTCCTGATACTAGTAATTAATTAATGCAAAGAAACAAGACTAGGTTGTATGGTAAGCTTGCCTGACACTGTACAAAAGGCCACTAATTCATGTTATGAAATACATCATACAAGGGCAAAACTGGAAACAAGTAAGTTTATTTGTTCCATAGTTGCGCAATGTGTGTCCTGGCAATCAAAGCACAGCTTGCAAACGCTGTATTAGGGCCCACTGGGTGCTCAACATCTTCTCTGTTTCTGGCAATGCCAGACAGTCAGCAAAAACAGGATGTTAATTAAGCAATGGGTGGGTTGTCACAAATGTTAATAAGCTACATTTTTTACTTAACCCACCAAGCTGCACAGGACTGATCTATTCCAAAAGAGCACAGATTTTCCACTCCAACACATTCTTAACAGATGAGGCCATGTTACAGAGGCTATGTACATTCTTCAGAGTGTACTGTGCCATAAAACAGATAGCAGGAAGCATGATACACATGACAGTTCCTGTTGGGCAAAGAACACATTTAAGGAAGATACACTGGGGTGGGGGTGGGGGTTGCAAACACAAAAAACACCACACAAGTAACCAAGGAAGACTTTTGGTTCACTGCAGCACTTAGCAGATGGTACTATTCAACATTAGATATAACTTGTTGGCCTAAATCGAGGAAAGTGGGCATCATGTGTAGTTTATGTACAGTATTACCACCACAAGAATGCAAGCCTTTCAAAATGACAGTATTCTCCTGCATAGAGCATTCCTCATTTTTGTTAAAAAAATGATTTAGTGATCGTGAGAGGCTTTTATATCTAACTGCCACATGACTCATTTCAAATAACCCACCATCAAGTCTTAGGTACTTGTTCTGATTTCAGTATTTAAGTCTAAATCAAACCCAAACTGTCTGCTGCTGTTTAGCTACCGAGCATGATTATACATATCTAGAGTTGAATTAGCAGCATGAATCAGGGAGGAAGCGGGACAACAACCTCCACTCTGTAATTCATGGCAGTTGGCAATTTCTTTTGTATTAGAGACAAACCTGCACACTTCGCAATCATCAGACAAGTAATCGTAAAACACAGGCGGTTTCTGAGCGGCAAAGGTCACAGCAGGTGCTCCATTTTCTGGAACTGACAGAGCTTCACTTCCTGAGCCTCTTTCTGAACTGCTTTCTTCTTTGCTAGCTTTGCCTTGCCTAACGCAAGCTGAAGGCTCAGCACTTTCGTGGCTGCACTTGCCCTGACGTTTTCCATATTGTCTCAAGGAGCTCTTTGCTTCTACAGAAGACACAGAAGATAGCGGGGGGCAGGTTTCTATACACTTTGAAAGCCTTCTCCTACGGTGATTTAGAGTGTGGCCTCCAGGCACAGCATTTTCTTCTTGCTTCTTTTCCCCATTTGGGACCATAGGGACAAGTTCAATGACATCCTTACTGGAATACCCATCTGGCTGAGTGTTTGAAGCATTTTGTCTTCTCATTCTTCTGGGCATTTTGGCTCTCTCTTTCTTTCTAATCAGGGCCCAGTGATTCTCATCTGAAGATGATGAATCGGATGATACCTTGTGCAAGGCATTCCATCTAGGGTTTGTAATCTTGGGGTGCACCTTGCCAACCTTCTCTTTCCTTTGCTTTTCTGTATGCTCATCATTTTCCTCAGCCTCCTTCCTCCGCCTAACCCTTCGCTTCACTTGTTTCTTAACAGGTTCTTTACTAGCAGGACTCAGCATCATAACAGGGGTTGATTTTTCAAAGTTATCTTCTGATATGTCATGCAAGGTGGGAGATCTGAACAAAGCAGCAAGCAAAGGAGATGGATGGAAAATGATGAAACAGAGAAAGAGAGAGAAAGCAATAAAATAAATAAGAAATATTGAAATGAAGACAAAATTAATTGTGATTTTTAAATAGGAAAACAAGGAATAGGCCATAAAATGACACTGAATGTGACAAACGAAAACTAGGTATGAATGTAAAAGCATGAAGGGCATTAGGCAAAAGCAAGATCTGCAGAGCATTAGATTAAAAAAAGAAAAACACTATATATCAGACAGATTAGGAACGCTCATTTAGCACATACCTACAGATGTCCTGAGTAGAAGGGCAGACAGATAACCGTGACTGGCTCCTTGGAGCAGTCCCTGTGGTAGGACTGCTTGCCTGTAGAAAGAAATTAGATAATTTGGAATCGCTATCCAAAAAGTAGAGCATAGATATTTTACCACTTTTCCACATGATTAAAATAAAAGTTAACTTGTGCAGCTATTCACAATCTTTCCACATATGCACAGCTTTTAAAATACAGGAAGCTGCTGCAAAAGCAAAACCCTTTTGAGGAACTAAATGTGCTCCAAAGGCTAGTGGAACGTCACATACTTGCTTTGTTTTTTGAGGAACAAGCTTTCAGTATTTACATTTTCACTTTGCGGCTAGGTCTACTTGCAAGTATGTGAAGGAAACAGCAGCTGTTAAAACTCAATAATGACAAAGCTTCTTATCACAGCAAACTGTGCTGCACTGCACTGCTATTGTGTGGGCTGAGTAAGGTCTGAGGCAAAATACTCACACCTCAACAGTGTGGGGAGACCATAAGCAATGTGAATATTGAAGCCTATTTTAAAAATGTACCACCAAGGCAATCCAGTTGACTTCCAGAAATTGAATGAACGTGAAATTGATGAGCCTCTGAAGGCCTAAAGTTCACACAGCAGCTCTACAACCTACTATTGGCTCAAAAACTTGGAACAAAAGATTTCCATTGTGTGGGGACCATGATAAGCAATCTCAGTAATTTGCAGACTAGCTTGGGAGAGCAAAGTGCACTTTGACTGGTAAACAAGACTGTTTCACTGGCTAGAAATTTACTGGAAATATTGTTTTTCACAAAAACAAGGCAAGCTCTGTAGTTAACAGAACTGTTAATAACCATGGTATTTATTGTATGCATATAATAAATAAACGTATGTATACATCACTCTCAGAGCTTTGAAATTAACTATGGTCCTTCCTGGTATAGCTCTTCAGACTGATTAGTGTGATGAACTAGGATACAGAATTGCAGATTGATACATAACTGTTCCTTTGGACATCATGAATGCCTTTAGCATTAAGATAAGTTTCTGAAGCAAGCATCTTGATTCTATGTGGAAAATATGGATCAGTTAAGCATGATAAAGTTATTTCACTGAAAGTTCTTCAACAAAGGAAACAGTGAATATTCTCTGTAACAGTAATGATAGCATATAATGCATGGATTTTGTACGTGTGATGTACATGTTACAAGTTACACCCTCCAAGTGAGTGTTTTCATGTTCAAATCATGCTAAAGAGGATATAAAGGATCACTTTAAGTAGAAAACATATATGAAGAAAAGAAAGCTGGTATCACAGAGAAGGAAGTTCTCTAGCTTTCTTCCTCTTAATACTCAATTTTAATATTTAAAAAAAATCTGATTATTTTAGGAAAAACTCACCAAAATTGTAAGTACTGAACAAACTTGTTAAGAAAATCAAATGGAATTTTGGCACCAGCTTTGGACATTGGCCAATCCAGCCACAATATTTACAACAGATGATATCAACAATATTGACTAGAAAGATTTTGGACACTTTCCTCAACTTCTCCTAGCATGTTATAATGAACTATATGTGCCAATACAATAATAGCAATCTTCTTTTATAAACAAGATGCATATGAATCATCAGCTTTCTCCCCTTATTGCTGATGTAAATATCTATACATCATATCTCCAGTCACATCATTTGAGCTCCACCAAATTAAGTGGATGCAACTTTTGATGCAAATGGAGAAATGTATTTATATACAGTGCTGCTAAGTATGGCTACTGTGGCGTAGATCCTTCAGGCTGCAATTGTATACATACTTACCTAGGAGTAAGTCCAACTGAAGTCAGTGGCACATACTTCTAAGCAGAGATGCATATGATTGCACTGTTAGTAGTTGGATCCATTCACAAATATTAGTAACCCTCTCAGTAAAAGGAGTGCAATTTTATATTGAACCATCCTGAAAGGTTTTGGAACTTGCATTATTCTCCAAAAGTCTAAATGAGACATGCAACTTTATTACTTTTAATTGCAATATGCAATGCATTTCTTGCATGTGATAATTCTATAAAGATATAAACCACAGATATTTCACTTTCTCAGACAGATGTATCACATCAAAGATTGTGCAGTACAATGTAAAATTAAGGCATGCATTGGGAAGAAATAACATAAATATGAGCTTTTCTTCATATACAAACATTAAACATTTCTGCATGGAGAACCAGAAAATCAGATTAGAAAAGGGAAGTCGAATGCTGCAGATCCTGGGAACGGCTGGTGTATGTGGTGCAGGCTACATTCTTTCCTCTCTCAACATCTGTGATCAGCTGTGGTGTGACTCATATGGAAGTTAGACATGTGCATCTAGACAATGTTTCTATATATGCATTAAAAAGGTAAAGGTTTCCCCTTGACATTAAGTCCAGTCATGCCTGACTCTAGGGGGCGGTGCTCATCTCTGTTTCCTAGCATTAGGGTTTTCAATTTTTAAGAATTCAAAGTAAAAATGACCCAATTCATGTCTCCCCTCCCAAGTATCTGTAAATTGGGAGTTTTTTGGTCCACCGATTTTTGCAGTTATCCTAATAAATATAATAATATGGTTCTTGGCTATTTACACATATATGGGTTTTTTGCCCATGAAAATGTAGACATCTACTGTATTTTAATTCTTGCAAATGCAACACACACACACACACACACACACACACACCAACAATAACAACTCTTTTCTACATGTTTACAGTATCAGTGTTATCCTAAATTTCCTTAGGGACAGTGCAGTATAGTAACTGCAGTATAGTCACAATATGTATTTTGAAAGAAACTTTTTAAAAGAGTTGATTTCAGTGGGATGGCATCATGGGTGCAAAATTGAACTGGTGTAATAGAATTTTGATTCATCCAACTCCAACACCAAAGAAACACCAAAGAGAAGAGACTAGCAAGTTCTTAGCTAGCGGTTCTAATGAGTACACTTGTGTCATTTGTATCAAAATCTAACCCATAGCTGGACACTGCCTCTCCATTTACTAGTAGAGAACAACTACACTTGACTTATTTCCCAAGAATACCTCCATTCTAAAATGGTTGCCTCATTTCCTGCTCATCTGACTGTGTGTCTTTTTCTATATCACACACAACTTTCTAAAATTACATAATACCGGTTAGTATAACACTATAAGTCTGAAAATGCTAGAAAATGTTTAAGACATTATTTATCTGATCCAGAAAATGTGACACTGTACATGAATATGCACTAAGGAGTTGTTGAAATCCTTTTCTGGCATTCTGGCATTTTCCAGGCATTCTGCAATGAGCTGCAAATGCCTAGAAGCCTAGCATTTCAAGACCACCTAACAGAAAACTGTAACTCCAGTGTTTGCAGCCAAGAGAAGCTGATTGTATAGTGCTATTTTATCATGGTCTTACTATGAGAACATCATACCAGGATAACCTGGTTAGCCAGGTGGGTATACATGCTAAATGCCAACCTAGCTTTAGCACCACTAAAATAAATAATGATATAAGATGTAGGGAACCTTTTTGGCCTTACAGCCAAATTCCAAACAAAAGGTTTCATGGGCCATATTCCAATAGTGAGCAGGAGGCAGGGTCAAATTTCAAAATGAGTGGGACCCATAACAGTTTAAATATTTTTCTACCTAGCATACAAAGCACAACTCTGTTCTGTGCAAGCCTAATGAGGAACAAGCCACAGAAACAGACTTACAGGGAACAAGCTTTTGGTTTACAAACTTCCTCCTTGCAGGACTAACTTAAATATAAGTACCCAAGCGGACAATAGGCAACTGTAAATGACACAATGTTGGCTGATGCAATGGGCTTTCCTACTGCCATACTACATTCTGTCCCCTGTTCTTTATATGCCTTTTAACTGCAGTAATATTGAAAGAAAATGGCATTTTAAGTTTAAAATCCTTTCAGTCTCCTCATTGTTCAGAGATTAGCAGGTTTTCCTGATGTCCTCCTTCAAGACTCGACAAGAATATCCCAGCTCTTATCTTCAATAAATTCTTAGCAGTAATCGAAGATATGAGTCAGGGTTTCCTGAACAGTGTTGAAGGGAGAGGGAGTATGTTTGAATCAGGCCTCTGGGGCAACGGTGCCCATTCCTGGCCATAGAAAATTCCCATATGGCCATAGAAAATTAGGCCCAACAAAACTGTAATATGCATAAAAGCCTGCTAGGAACTAAGAAGGATAAATTAGTATTTCTCTACAGCATATATGCCCACATGTTGTAGGGCAAGTAATTATGAAACTTGCACCAGAACAAATTACTTTATACTCTCCCTTTCCTTCCTATATCAAATTTTAATGGACAGGAGTATACAATTTAAGTAGCAAAGTTCTATTCTCTCAACATCTTAGAAGCTCCATTGTCTAAAGCAGGGGTCCTCAAACTTTTTGAACAGGGGGCTAGTTGAAAGGCTGCGGTGACCGTAGCGGGCCAGTGAGGTGGGGGTGCCTGGGGGCGCGGGCCAGTGAGGTGCTGCTGGGCGTGCGCAAGGCGGCATGCTCGCTCGGAGATCTCCCAGCAAATTCAAAACCATCTCCGAGCGAGCGAGCGAGCGAGCCACCACCACCCCTCCCAAGCTGCGAGGCAGTGGCGAGCGTGCGCATACGGGAGGCAGGTGGCAGCGGCGGCTTGCAAGCCACCACCTCCCCACCCGTGCAGCAAGTGTGTGTGTGGGCGGGGAACAGCGGTGCAGGCCGGATGCGAAGCCATGGTGGGCTGGATCCATCTTGTGGGCCATAGTTTGATGACCCATGGTGTAAACGAAACTCACTTGAAAGAATGAAGTTTTTGATGGGCTATTCTAATCCAATTGTTGTATCGAGACAAATGAACAGAAAATATGTGCAGCAAATATAGCACAAATATGCAAGATCAATACAAAACTGTATGTTGTCACATTCTCTCATTTAGCGCTTCATGATTCCTTGATTGGCTAAACAAAAGGATTCTATTTCACAGCATAATGAACTTTAAATGGCATATTCCTTTAATAGAAGCTTACTCAAAAATACTTTATTTTAAAGTGCCATTTAAATGAAAGAAAGTT